TGCTATGTCTTTTAAAAGTTTTTTTTTTTACGTAGCATGCAAAGTAAAAAAAAAAATCTGTTAACAATAGCAATCCAGTTACAGTGATTACACTACATTACTAACTACAAAAAAAAGCCTAAGTCAACTAACAACAGTTGCTCCTTCACTCTACCTGGCAGAGTCCAAGGCTAACACTTCAGGCCTCCACGTCACATGTCCGTCTTCTCCATTGCACATCTGTAAACGACAATAGCAGAGGAGGCACAAAGAATGAAATGACAAGTACGAGCTGGAATCACAATCAAAAGCTGTGTTGGTCTCCTTTACATCTTGCTGTCAGGGCAGAAAGCCACACGGTTGATGGGAACATGACCTTTGACGCCAAACTCCTCCTCCTGCATAGCAAGGAAGAACCTGCAGATTAGAAGAACACAGCATTGTGCCACATGTTAACACAAACAAACAGGTTTTCCTTAAAAGCAGCCACAGAGTAGTCACTTCAACAGCACGGCCAACAACTACATGTTTACACATCACTATGACTGCTCACTATCAACAGTAATACAAAGTTGTGGCTTCTTCAGTGCTAATCTGAATCTAATCTCACATGAAGACAACAGTCACTGGATGCTTAATAATAATAATAATAATACTTCAACTCACCTGGCCTCAAATCTGCCAATCCTGGTGGAGGTTGTGGTCACTTCCATGGCCTCCTGCTCACCTCCCATAACCACCTACAACACACATGGCACTCAGTTATTTTCACAACATCATCAGTCCAACACTAAACACTAAATCTTCAAGGCCTTAAAGTCACAGACAGTCGAGTCACTGTAGCTTTAATGGACCGTAACAGACCGTTCATTTCAAACTGTACCACTCATTTTGTCCTAAGATGTACTTCAAATATTCTAAATCCTAGACTGAAGGAAAATGTCATTGTGAATAAATGGACAAGTGGACACACTCCAAGTAACCACACCTACTACTGTGTGGTTTTTTGTTTTTTTTTTGGTGTATCTTCTTATAGACCCCCAGCAAATTGTCAATGTTTACTTCAGTTTGTACATACTTGTAAAACAAACTATCAATAAACATCTTCAAATACATCTTGTTCACTTATTTCTGTTGTTCTCCTTTGGAGCGGGGGTCTCAGGCACAAATGACTGGAGGGTCACCTCACAATTCCAGACATACATGAACAATGACAAGTTGTTACTATCTACAGTCTAGTTTCTTTTATGGTATTGATTTGTTTAAGTTGGCGCGTGACGATCACCTACCGATCTGTTGTGGACCCCTCAGGTCGAACAAGTTCAGGAAACACTCACAGCCCATCTGCTTGGCGGTGGAAAACACGATGATGTTGCCGCTGAAACCGAACCCACGTCTTCTGACTGCGGACATTAAAGAAGGGACACGGAGCGAAAATTAAACACCAAAATATCAAACACTTGACAGGAAATGATCCAGACTACATTTAAACAGTCATACACTAATATGTCTGCTGGAACCACCTCTACAGCCAACTGTTTATTTAATTTCATTATTTCACTACTCAACTATTTACACTGCCCATATATTTCATATAATATATATTTATTTTATATACTTGTTCACATAACTTCCTTATAATAGTACTAGTTCTGCTTATGTATACATATAGGTATAATGTGGTATACTTTACTATATATCTTCTTTTCTTCTTTTTCTTTCGGCTTTGTCCCTTTTTTTTTCAGGGGGTTGCCACAGCAGATCATTGATTTCCATCTCTCCCTGTTCTCTGTATCTTCTACTCTGACTCCAACTATCTGCATGTCCTCCCTCACGCTCCATCTCTAACATTCTTCTACCAATGTATCCACTGTCCCTCCTCTGCACATGTCCAAACCATCTCAATCTGGCTTCTCTAGCTTTTTCTCCAAACCTTCCTGTCTGTGTTGTCCCTCTAATGACCTCATTCCTGACCCTGTCCATTCTTGTCACTCCTAAAGAGAATCTTAGCATCTTTAACTCTGCCACCTCCAGCTCCTCCTCCTGTCTTCTGCCTATTGCTACTGTCTCTAAACCATACATCATGGCTGGTCTCACCACTGTCCTGTAAACCTTTCCCTTCACCTTAGCTGACACTCTTCTGTCACAGATCACTCCTGACACTTTTCTCCAGCTGTTCCATCCTGCCTGTACTCTATTCTTCACCTCTCTTCCACAGTCTCCGCTGCTCTGAACAGTTGATCCTAAGTACCTAAACTCCTGCACCTTCACCACCTCTGCTCCTTGTAGCCTCACTATTTCACTGTTCTGCCTTTCGTTTACACACATGTACTCTGTCTTGCTGCGGCTGACCTTCATTCCTCTTCTTTCTAGTGCAAACCTCCACCTCTCTAGATTCTCTTCTAGCTGCTGCCTACTCTCACTACAGATCACAATGTCATCTGCAAACATCATAGTCCATGGGGACTCCTGTCTGACCTCATCTGTCAATCTGTCCATCACCAAAGCAAACAAGAAGGGGCTCAGGGCCGATCCTTGATGTAGTCCCACCTCCACCTTTGAAGTCTTCTGTCCTCCCAACAGCGCACCTCACTACTGTTGTACTATTCTCATACATGTCCTGCATCAAACTAACATACTTCTCTGCCACTCCTGACTTCCTCATACAAAACCACAATTCCTCCCTTGGCACTTTGTCATATGCCTTTTCTAAATCTACAGGTGTCATGCCCAGGAAGAGTACCACAGATGCAATATTTGCCTTGAGGATGTTGATGGAGAAGTACAGGGAAGGTCAGAAGGAGCTGACAATAAACAATGACAAATACAAGAGTTAAATGGAAAAGAACAACTCTTTTCTTTGTTGAAGACTTCCTTTAGGCAACTGGACATGAAATTCTAAGGCGGGTTAACACACAAAAACCATTCTGTTGAGGATTACAACGACTGTTAACACTTCCCCAGATGACCCCGACGGCACACCCGACAGGAGGGACCTGATGTAGCTTTATTCTTTGTCACACCCACAGTATATATTTGCTGTACTCCCCTCCACTGGTTAGAACTGAAGAAGCCTCTTGAATGAGAGGCCAAGTGTCTTCTTGATAAAATGTCACGTCCAGTTGCCTAACGGAACTCTTCAACCTTGACCTGGATGACTGCGAATCTTCATAAACAACTCTTTTCTTTATACGCCTTCAAAAACTACAAACTCAGGTTTCATTTTTTAGGTTAAAAACAAAACTCTTCTCTGGGCGTTCTCCTTGATGGCCAGCAGGGTGTCATTCTGATGACTTTATTTATAACATTTTTCAACAAGAGTTCTCACCTTGGCGATGTTGTCCTTTGAGGCACTGATGAACATGATGAGGTCTACAGACGTCTGGATGGCGTTGATGTCCCTGCTGTGCTCCTTAGTACTTCAGGACTGGAATACTGACAAACAAACAAAAAAAAAAAAAAAAACATTCCTCATTATCACAGGCTCAACAACAGATACCGTCGGTGATTCATTATTTCCTTCAGTATTTCATTTCTATAATACCGTGTACAAACTTTTTCTTTATAGTACAAGGTCAATAGGTAATATCAACATAAAATAGGCAAAAATTATTCTTTTTTTCATTCCTGACACTGTTCCATTAGAGTCAATCTGATCTTAATTAACAATGCTTTGAATTAATGTCTCTGTGTTACAAAACAGTTGTCAGAAAGGGCTACCAACAGCTCGCCCGTGCAAAATTGTTGCATGATACAAATGTTTACAGAGATGACAATAATTTCAGTAACTCTTTCATACCGGTGCCCAGAGTTATGAGGGTGGAGCGGTCCTATTTTTCCACCCAATGGTCTCATGGCTGTTGGTGGTCTTTGAACCATCTCCCAGTACTTTCCTGTGAACCAACAAAATCACGGATTTGTCTCTGATGAACATAAATACAGTAACTCTCCACCTTGGAACGTGACTTTCACGTCAACACTGTTGTGTTGTTGTCAACAGTTCCACCTTTAACAATACCACTCTGCAGACTGTTAATACATAAGCTTTATCAAAGGTTCAACTGTAAACAGCTATTCACAGACAAAGAAACGGTGGAGCAGAGCTGCTGGCAGTGGTCTATGAAACTCTTTGCACAGAATATTACATTTTATATCCATGTCACAAAATGTCAGCGCTGAGTATTTGTATAAAACCACGTAAAGGCATCCATTATTTAGATTGATGAAGATTAACAGTTTGTTTGTGACCAGGTTATCCTCGTGACTTCCATACACACTCGAGGACGACTAAACATGTTTATTTGATAAACGACAGCAGCATTATTTCCGGTTAAATTTAAATGACGTCTCTTGCTAGGCATGCGCAAACTGTCGAGAGGAAATTACGTAAATTTAAAAGTCCCGTAGTGTATAATAATATGTAGATAATGTGCGGAAAGAAATAAAATAGATAACTGACGACATTACCAAAAAGCAACAATGTTGTGGTATTAGTTCAGTCAACTCAGAAGAAATGGCATTTAACCCGAACGAAAAGCAGACTGTACACTTGAACAAATCAAATTGCGTGTAATAACAGAAAATCATCTTCAAATTTTAATCCTTACCTGTCGGTTTTTCAAACATTTGTCTTTTCCGGACGAGCCGTCCGCTGTGCATTGAGTGTCCACAGAGATGAAAACGCTGGACCGCAGCACTAAACACATGCTAGCATGTTAACTTGACACCAAAAAAGGTTTATCGAGAAAAACACTAACACACTAGCGTCCATAGAATGGCTGTATATCACATAAAACTGCTTCGTTTTATAGTTTAAATGTAAAAAGTTTGTTTGTGTCAAGTTATCTCTCCCCTCGTTACATCCACACACAATCATCGACGACTAAATGTTTGTTTAAAAAAACCAGAGCGCACATTTCCGGTATAATTTAAAAGCTCTTGCTACGCATGCGCAAGCCAGAAGAAATGAAGTCAATGTATTTATTAATGTGAAAGAATTTGTAGATCTCTGTGTACAAATAAATAAAAATTAAAATAGAGAGAAACAAATAGAGAACATATATATGAGAAGTTTCTTGATAACATTTTAGATCTTAAATCACATCTATCTACCTGGTTCCACCTTCAACAATTCACCTGAACAATAGGGTTCAGGTGCAAATTCTACAAATACTGAATTTTTAATTTGTATTCAATAACTTCGTGACATAAACAACACAAATTAATCTACTATATTGATTCATGATGAATTAGAAAACACAATAAATGAGAATTCCAGCTCAATTTGCTTACTTTTTAATACATTTGACCAAGTTTTAACAATCTTATTCAAAGATTAAAAAAACAAACTCTTCTGTTTGTCTGAATGAATGAGATCATTTAAACCACACATGTCAAACTCAAGTCCAGGGGCCAAATCTGGCCCACGGTGTAATTATATTTGGCCCACGAGATCATAACAAATGTATACTAGAGTTGGCCCACCTGTATACAGGCCCTATATACTGCCAGAATTTGTAGTATTAGTGGTGTATCCACTATGTTATAGCACAAATGTTTTGCGGGTTTTGCTGTCGACCTGTGAAAAAAGATTTACATGAAAAAAGGAAGTGGAAAGGCTACAGAGAAACTCCTCAGGACAGGACTCAGCAGTTCACATACACCTGAAGGACAAAACACACTCCTTTGAGGACAACA